GGGAAACAAGAACATTATTAAAGGAGAGAGGTGGGGAGGCGGGAAAAAGGTGGTTACCAACAACCCTAGTTATGAAAGATGGTGAATTTAAAGTTTTAAAATTAACATGAGAAATAGTACTTGGATCAAGGAAAATATGATGAGAAGCACCGGTGTCCATGAACCACATGGGTTCACAAAAGTACATGGAGTCAAAATGGTGTGCCAAGGATGTTGGTGTCTTAGGTTGGGGGTGCCGGGTAGATTTGAAGGGGGGAGGGTGGGCTGGCTGCCACTAGGGGTAGGGGTAAAAGGTTGGGTTGGGGTATGGGGTGGGGGTAGGGTATGGGTTATTTGGATAAGTGGGTTGTGCATAGTAGGCTTGGGTACTGTCCAGGTTTGGGTCTCAATGAGGTCCCAAGAGACCTAGGTCCGGGTTTTGGTTGGGAATCTGCGAAGGTACAAAGATGTCATAAGTGGGCCTTGGATGCTCCAAGAGTCTCGACCATGTCCACGTCCACGATAAGCCTTCCTGCTTCGACCACCAATGTTGATGTATTAACCTCGACCACCGCTTCCATACCCCTTACCGCCACTACATGTCGCCCCTTCTATAGCTTTATCCATCGCTACCTGACCCGCACCCGCAAAACTAACTACTGCCCCTGCGTTGCTCGATTGCAACAAAGGCGGTTAAGCTGTCCCCACTAATGACGAGGGGGTGGCACTGTTATTCCAAGAGAAGAAGAGCCGAGTGAGTTTCCAAGAAAGTGGGCTGCAGTTTGTTAAATTGAAGGAAGGAGGCGTCAACACTCAGGTCATCTAAAAGCCCATGAAGAGCCTGAAGAAGGAGTTGATTTTCAGTGACCAAGCCATCAACATCATCAATCCAATTAGCAATATTCTTGATATTATGACAATATGTGGTGATGGTTGATGAGCCTTTTAGAGTGTTGTAGAATTTATGTTCCAATTGTATGTAACGAGCAGCTTTGTTGTCATGAAGTGTTCTATATTGCCTTCCTATGATCAACATTAGATTTGGCGGCAGAGGAGATGATGAGAACAGAGAATTCATGATGATGGTCGAAACAACCCATGTAACACCCCAACCCGCATAACCTAAATACAAAGGTCAGCAAACCGGGTTGCTACTAAATTGGTATCCAAACACAACTTATTTGCAAACAACTCAAATAAATGCTTCAATCTATAATTTAACATCTATCGGAGTAATAATTAAAGAATTTGCGAAAGCTTAAGTCATCATTTAAACACAATTGGGTTATCAAGCCCGTAAAAGTAATAAGTCGTTAAATAATAAACAATAATTAAAAATCATAAAAGACAACCACACACATCATCTAATTCTCATCGCCCTCTAGGATTGGCTCCAAGTTCATCATCTCTTGGATTACCTACGAGTAGCAAAAGAGCAAACACTACACACTTAACATTGAAGCTAAGTAGGAAATATCTAACATTTCGGTTGCACCTACAGACAACCTCACCAACCCGGAACATCATATGGTATCATGCACATAATACTCAAGAGAAATTTACCTAAATAGGACAAACACATAATGACTTTCTCAATATAGGACCACATGTTTTTATTTCCCAATGTAGGACTTTTAGTCATTATCAAGTAGTCATTATTCAAGTAAATGTATATCATTACTGGACAGTATTTCTTCCACGAGGTCATTATTAAGTCCTATTTAGGGAATAAAAAAGATTAAGTCCTACACTAGGAAAGTCATTATGTTTTAGTCCTATTTAGTGCAAATTTCACAATACTCAATACAATTACATACATTTGTACAAGGAATATGATATAAACCAGATCTATACAACACATCCCAATAAATTGTTGACTTTTCATTTACTTAGCTCATAACCTAACCTAGGCTAAGGCTAGTTCTTTTTAGTTTCCTATGGGAGTCATGACCTTCCCCTTCAAAACAAAGGCCAAGCTTAAAACCAACTCGGGAGTTCCACGTTGGGTGTGTGAGATCCCCGTCCACATTGGAATGATAGTTCATAGATCCCCGTGCACACGTTTTTACCCGGATAGCCATTGGAACCAGCGGGTACCACATGGCTCTAATCTACTATGCTTATGACATAACTTGCCATTAATCGATTAAGGTCATTCCCTAGAGTTCTTCTAGGTACATTAGCTTCATTAACATAATATACCCATACAAGGCCTACCATAATACATAGAGAGATAATCATTTCATTCAAATAGAGGCCTAGCCTTAGGTAGAATTACTCTAGCTCACTGTCATGCAACCAACAAAGTCTCGAAATCAATCCTCGATAGAAAACACGGATTTAGGGATGAACCTTGGCCCTTAGGGTCAAACAGTACCTTGTCCGGTACTGTAACACCCGCCCTCCGTGGACCCGGTTCACCCGCGACCCGACGGACCGGTAGGGTTACATGGGCGGTCCGAGAACCGTCCGTTACAAAAACATTAATGATTATTTAATAAAAAAACGGTTACGTTTGATTAATGGGATATTAATGACTATTTATTATGAAAACGTTTGTTTTACTTGGTGAAATAAATGTTAGGAGTTATTCCCAAAAACGTGACTGATATAAATGTAGAGTAAAAGCGGAAGTAAATAAATGAGTAAAACGACAAATGGTGGGTTCATGCCCAAATGATTAATTAATTTAATGTATTTAATTATTGAACTTGTCCATGCGCCACCCATCTTCCCACCATCACTGTCCTCCAGGGTTAGCACCTGCACCGTCATGTCTACCTGCGTGTAGAAAAAACAACTACACGCTCAGCATAAGCTGAGGAGTGAATCTAACAAAAGAAAATTAAGTTATAACCCATATGGCTATACACATATTAATACCTGTACTTAACGTACGGAAAACCACATGTTTACTAACTGATTAATTTGTACTTGATGGGATACTATTACACAAAATGAATAACAACCACATTCAATGTTGATGTGACGTGGAACATACTTGATGACGATATGACTTGATGCATGACTGATGCTATTAGGGACACCCCTGACTTAGTCTCACTTGACAGGATCACCCCTGCACTCCGGTAATGACCCGGGCTCGACGTAAACGTCGCAAGTGAACTAGCAAAACCGGGTGGTAGCCGTAGCCTGACTAACATGTACGTACACAAAGCCCACCTGATGAGAACCCGTTGGATCCCAAAGGTTCCTGGATGGGCCCACTGTAGTAGGCGCACGAGAGCCTGACCTCCCTACAGTGGTATGCACATGATGAAAAAAAACCTAGTACATGCGTCTAGAATGAACATGATGAATGCTTGATGTATTTACCTTTGGTCAACGCCAAGAATATATCAATTAAATAACACACATAATGAATATTAACATTTCATGCAAACACACAGTCAGATTCTGAGTCAAACTGGTCAAATGGGGCTCGTTCTACAAACTGCCCGAAGTTCTGCCTGCGGAACAGTCGACCGTACCCTACCGGCGGTCGACCGTGGGCTATGGTCTGGGGTTTGGGTCACAGACGGTCCACCGTGGTCTTCCGTCATGGATGACGGTCGACCGTCCCGGCGGTGACCGTTGGACTGGGCGAGGGTACGGTCCACCGTCTGAAGTAACGGTCGACCGCCCCGATGACAGTCTTCTGTCCTTAGCTACGTTTTGATCCATTTTGCAACCTTAACACCTTGATTCTCTTTAGAAAAATAATACAAACATTGATGAATATATTCCTAGTGATTCCTAGGCCAATATTTATAAGTTTTACGTAGTGAACGTTTTAATGGCTAACCTACGAACATGCATAGATTCTACGTAGGTTGCGTACGATATTCCTATGAATATAACGACATAGATTATAACTAAATGTTCTAGAATTAGAGGGGACAACTACTCACCTCTAGATGATGGGGTTGATGAAACGGAAACGAAATGAACGAACGATGGTAACGAACGGATGAACGAACGAACGAACGAACGATCGGCTTCTCGCGTGAACTTCCTTCTCTTCCACCTCCTTGCCTACTCTCCGGAACCCTCCTGAAGATGTTATGGTCTGGCCGAAATGCACCAAGGGAAGGGGAAGACAAAGTGAGAGTGATGGTTGGGGGTTACAATATGCTAAGGAAATGAAGAGGAGAGTGGGGGTTTAAATTAAAATGGAGTAATGAAGAATAATGATGATGAATGAATACGGGGAGAGGAATGGTGAGTGGCGTGGGTTTTGAAGGAAGTTAAATGGGGGGTTACAAATATTCATTTACTCCGTTATGTAAAAATCTAACCTGAACGGTACGCGGTTTTTCCCCCGAACGGGTCCGAATTGAGATCCAGTTGCGTTTTTGGAATCAGACAGTCAAAACAAATTTAATGACATGTTCAAAATATTTTTCTCAAAACTTCATTTTCAAACTTCTGGGTCCACCCCAATCATTAATTAATTTATTTAATTAATTAATGTTGAGAGGTCCGTTATTAAAACATCTTTTATATTAAAATACATTAACTTTTGAAAGCCATTGGTAGAGATCATAATCTCAATATTACTAATTTAAAATAATGAGTCTCAATAAATAAATTATTTCTATTTATTTAAAAATATTGGCAAAATATTAGGCCGGTTTGTAGGGCGTTACAGGTACATTAGTAACGTCCGGCACAGAGTCTGTCTCCTATGGAAGTGGTTAGCGGTAGTCGGGTACCAGCCCTAGCGGTAGGGACCTACCATCCACCTAGTGCCTAGGTAGCGAAGGGGTGAAGGTTCCGCTAGTGAAAAATGGCCTATGGCGGTATCATGGTACCGCCTGGCGGTACCTAACTAGTGTTAGTCGCAATTTACCTTTCTAGCATATGATTGTTCCCAAACATTCACAGACGATCAATTTCGAAGTCCAGTACAAGAATAAGCATTAAATTGTCCAAATTTATATTCTAAACTAACATGATCAACTCCCTCATAATATAAGTCTTGAATCAATGCTAATTCATGAACTAACGCAAGTAGGGTTCACATAGATCAACCATAACGATTTTAAGAATGTGAAATTTAAATCCATAAATGTATTCTAGCGTTAGATGTACATGTACTCACAATAATTACGATGAGTAGAAAACTACAAAGACAATACTATCGAATGGAGAGTGGTGCGGCTTCCTTCCCCTTCTTCTTCTTCTTCTTCTTCTTCTTTCCAATGCCCTGCTCTTTGTTGCTGCCTTTGGTCGACCAAGAGGAACGAGAGAATGAGAAAGAGGATCAAGATGTGAGGGAGTGTTACATAAATATGGGGTGTCGTGAGGGTTTGAGGCGTGTAAGGTACTATATGTATGTTTTGGCTTTTGGGCTACATAATTAATTAACGTACCTGGGCCAAATGCACTTTTCAGACCCACGAGCTTTAAATCCAAATTAGTCTGCACCGTTGGATTCATTTCATTGAACCTTATACAAGAGTATCCTTTTTATCAAACAAAGAATATATTTCAAATTTACACTGGGTCCATCTCAGTAATTAATTAATACTTATAAGCTAGGTTTCCGGGCGTTATATTTCTCATCTGCTTAAATTAATTTTGTCCTCGAAATTACCTAAGTCATTGGTCATTGAAGAGTTGAGGATACTGAGCTTGCATGGACTCCTTGGTCTCCCAGATTGCTTCTTCCACGGCCTGGTTTCGCTAAAGCACCTTGACCAAGGGGACTATCTTGTTCTTTAGTTCCTTTCCTACATGTGCTAGGATTTGTAAGGGTTCTTCCTCATATGTGAGGTTCTTGTCGAGGGTGACTACTCCCTCGGGTAAAGCAGGAGATAGATTTGAATGGTATCTTCTAAGCATGGACACGTGGAACATGTCATGTATCTTCTAGAGCTCAGGAGGTAACTCCAACGGATATGCCACCAGTCCTACTCGTTTAATAACTTGTTATGGTCCAATGAACCTAGGACGTAGCTTGCCTTTCTTGCAAAATATCTACACCTTTTTCCATGGAGAAACCTTGAGGAATACCTAGTCACTGACATTATATTCAGTTTCCCTTCGCTTGAGGTCAGCGTATGGCTTCTGGCGATCTAAAGAAACTTGCAGCCTGTAACGTATCAACCGGACTTTCTCCACTGCTTCGCAAAAAATGCCAGGTTCTTCGAGTTAAGACTCCCTCAACTCGGTCAAAACTCTATCGGCATGGGTAAGTCCATACAAATTTGGCATCCTTTTTCAGTAGCTTATTCAGAGGAGATGCAATAGATGAGAAAACCCTCCACGAAACACCGGTAGTAACAAACTAGGCAGAGAAAGCTCCTCACCTATCGTGCATTTATCGGAGTGTTCCACTCCATTATAGATGAGATCTTACATCAGTCTACCTTTATACCTTCGCTCGAAATCACATGTTCTAAGAATACGACTTCATTGAGCCAAAATTAACACTTGGAAAATTTGGCATAGAGCTTGTGCTTTCTCACTACAACAAGTACATTTTGTAGATGTCTGGCATGTTCTTTTGATGTTCTTGAGTACACGAAGATGTCATCGATGAAAACTACCACGAGCTGGTCCAAGTAGGGGTAGAAAATGTTTTTCATCTAGTCCATGAATATCACTGGGTCATTAGTCAGTCCAAACAACATCACTGTGATTTCATAGTGCCCATAACGTGTACGAAAAGGTTTCTTCAGTATATCTTATCTCTTTATTGGAATCTGATGGTGACCTGACCAAAGGCATGTTCAAATTTTGACAGTCGATGCAGAGTCTCATCGATCTGTCTTTTTTTCTTAACGAAGAGGGCTTGTGCTCACCAAAGGACACACTCGGATGGATGAATCCCTTGCCCAATGATTCTTGAAGCTGAGCCTTCAGCTCTTTCATCACTCCAGGTGCGATGCAATAAGTTGTCGCCGAGATGGATTCAATCCCTAGAACCAAATCAATTCAGAATTCCACCTCACTCGGTGGTGTCAAGCCATGAAGGTCAATGAGAAATACATCGGGGCATTCACACACGGTAGGAATAATTTTCTGCTCGGGGGTTTAGGGAACAACTCCCCTTTGACCTCCACGATGTTACTGTCATCGGTCTTCAACAATACTGTACGCAGTCCGCTGTCGATTAATGCTTTCTGTTCCGTCAGCAAGTCCATACAAAGGATAATATCAAACTCCTTGTATGGTAACTCAATTAGAATCACGGACATTTGATGTGCGTGAGCCGTCAGCGAACAGTTCCAGAATAAATGGTGAAGCCGCATGTTGTTCCTTAATAGGTTAGATACTATCATGGGGTATTCTAGATCCCCGCTCTTATTGTTAGCTTTCTCAGGCATAAGAACACAAATATAAGATAATGTAGATCCTAGATCAATTAGTGCAAGCATATGTGGAAATAACAAAAACATACCCAGGATGACATCACGGTAGAGCTTAGTACGCCCTTGCATGGTGTAGGTGGATGCAGGAGTATCTCCTTGCAAAGAGATATGTTGCCGAGAGAGAGAGAGAGAGAGAGAGAGAGTCGACGGTGAGAGGAAGTGTCGAGAGGGGGAGAAACAATCGGTATTAGCCTAGGGTTGGCTCCGTTACCATGACGAATTGTATAATATTGATCATATCTTAAAGATACAAAAGGTCCACCTCCCCTTATATATATACAAAGGAGAGATACAAACAAGGAAAGAATAATTAAAGGATAGAAAAAATATTTTATATATATATATATATATATATATGTAAATATTTAACAGTTCTCCTCCACTTTGATTTTTTTCCTTCTTTTATCATGATTATTAGAGTGCTTGGGTGCAATCTTAACATTGTATGAGATCATAAGTTCATAACTTTATCAAACTTGTACTTAAAAGTGATTTATGTCAAATATATACATCTTTTCAGGTAATTGCGGAGACTATTGGAACATATTTCCTCATATTTATTGGATGTGGTTCTGTTGCTGTTGACAAGATATATGGATCACTAACATTCCCAGGCGTGAGTGTGGCATGGGGTTTGATTATTATGGTTATGGTCTACTCAGTGGGTCACATATCCGGTGCACATTTAAACCCCGCTGTCACCATTACGTTTGCACTCTTTCGCCAATTTCCTTGGAAACAGGTTCCTTTTTCTCGTAGGCATTTTTCATTAAATGAATTTGCTTTACAAAAAAATGCAAGCATTTAAAGATAATTTTTAATTGATGTATGTTATAAATCCATTTTTTTTATGTGAATGGATATAAAAATAGAGTGATAAAAATAAATTAAATAGAGAAATAAATGAATAATGTAGTTTGCAGGTGCCCATGTACGTATTTGCACAACTCGTTGGTTCAATTCTTGCAAGTGGGACTTTGTACGTCTTACTTGGTGTGAAGAGTGAGGCTTTCTTTGGAACCCTTCCCGCAGGTTCAGACATTCAGTCATTTATTATAGAATTCATCATGTCCTTCTTGCTCATGTTCGTCATCTCTGGCGTCGCTACAGACAATAGAGCTGTGAGTAATTTTTTTGGCACAATAAAAATATCTTAGTAGTCTTTATAAGTGTATATACGTTTCTTGCATGTATGCATATTTAATTTAGAATGAGCAGTGCTCTTTACTAAACCACAAAATAGATCTCGAGAGGTTAGGAGTTTCCAACACTTATTATTCAAGGGGTCATTAATATTCAACCAACAAATGTGAGACTCTTTGGAATTGTCCAATTTTCAATATTTTCACACACCCCTTCATGTGTGGGTATCTATTGGAAGGCCTATCGAGTGACTATCGATTCCAAAGTGACAATTGTTTAAAGAGCAGCTATATTTTTAATACGATGTTCCTTAAGAATACATACAGGCCTAACTCAATTTGATTAAAATGCTCACACGGCATGAGGTGTTTCAAATTCCTATAGAGGGTTCGTTCATTAATTCATATTCAACTGATATAGAACAATTCATTAACTTCAATTCTTTTAGGGGTTGGTTTGGTTCCTACGTTTAAGTATTTACCCAAAATTGTAGAGAAATTGAAGACAAATTTTTTCTTCAATTTGGTTTTGCATAAAGAATATATGAATCGTTGGTTGTTCAGTTCAAACTCAATAAATATTTTTTTAGAGTCAAAACCAAAAATTCATAACTACTTAGAGTTTAGTATTCAAAGTTCACACTAAGATTCAAATTTATAGCTCAGGATAGTATTTAGTTTCAGATACAATTAATACTAAGTGAGTTGAAAAGTTAGATTTAATGCAGTATTGAAATTTCAAAAAATTACTTGTATATTAGATGAAATCAATATTTTAAGAGTCATTGAGTTTAGAAAATCATTATTCCATATAAATCCACCCCTAATCAGAATTCAAATTTGAATAATACTTCGTAATATTTATGAATTCTTCCAATCAATACAAATGAACAAGAATCATAGGATCCTCAAATGCTTAGATTCAATTGGAATACACATAAGAATCTGTAACACATCAAAATGTAACATATGAATCACATATCAATTCAAATCAAGTGGTTGAGATTCATACCTGAAGATGGAACTAGCCAAAGAGGCATTGTGTCGAAACAAATATGTACAAATCGCTAAAATTACCTCTGTCAACCACCGTCTCACACTCCATAGGCTTGGGAGCTAGAGACAACTTTTAATCAAAAGGCATCCTTCAATTGAGGATTTAAGGGAGAGATTTCGATTTGAAAGTGTGATGAATAGAAAGCGGAAAGCCTGAACTAAGACTATGAAGTGTGAAGAGACTATGTATAATGACTTAAATAATCATAAAGGTGACAATAAAAACCATTCTAATTGTTGTTGGAGAAACCAACAAGAGGAGGAGCTACATCTGGGGTTTCACATAAAATTACTTTGTTAGTCTCAATTTTATTTTAAGAACTCGTAGGTCCACATTACTTAAAATATACCTTGGTACCTTCTAGTTTCTCAAAATATACCTTGTTACTCACATTTCTTATATTACCAACTTTTTCTTGAATAACCATAATTTTATTAAACTTTAATAAACTTCTTTAATTTATAATCATTTTTATCTTAGTTGTTATTAACTTGAAAGAGAATGAGTTTCTTAAAATTTGATAAATTAAAAATTATTCAATGTAAAATTTAGTAATATGTCACATTTGAGTTCTTAGTATAAAATGTGAGGTATCCGAAATTAAATGTTTTGGTGTTTGATGAATGAAATTAATGGAACTTTTAATGTTAACCCCCAAATGCATGGAATGTACCCTCATGCTACATTAAAGCTGATCTTAGGGATCCTCCGAGTATATTTCAAATAATGTGGAAAGAGTGAATTTTTACCAAAAAACCAAGGGTATCCTGGAGTAATTTTCTGAGGGTTTCAATGCGTGAGGAGTAATTTTCTGAGGGTTTCAATGCGTGAGGAGTAGCCAAATCTAATATGGCTTATAGCAATATAATGACCACTATGAGTACGATGTACCTAGACTTGAAAACAATTGACATTACTTTATTTGTTATCTGAAACCCAACTCATAATACTGGGTTTTGAATAAATATTTAGTTGGCCGAACTCAATGATGACCGTACCCGAAATGACCCGCTAAAAATGGGTCAAACCAAACAAAAACTAAACCCGACATGAGCGACCCGCTAAAGTAATAGTTTATAAAAATCATGTACTTTCATTTCAAAAATAACATGATAAAAATAAGGCTATGTTTTTATTTTTTATCTTATTACTCATTTTTAGTGTATAAACCTATATTTTCAAACAAGTTTAATTTTCAATGATATCACATTTTTATCATACATGTTTTCAAAACTAGTACATATTTAATATTTTATACTCCATATTTAATAATTATCTTACTCAAAATAAGTAGATATTTCAAAAATGGTACATATTTAATACTTGGTCCGTCCCTGAGTGTTTGTCCACTTTTGACTTTTGGAACTGTTCATTTAAGCACTTTGACTCATCAAATTATCTCAATGTGTAAGCCTAAAAATAGTCATGTGTGATATTGTTTGATTCGTCTTAACATATAGATTATTAATATATAATTTTTATAATTTTTTAATATACAAATTGCAAGATAAAATGGATTAAAGAAGTGCATTGGATGGTGTGCAAAAATGAAAGTGGACAAACACTCAAGGACGGAGGGAGTATTCTCTTACTCATTTATCTTACATTCTTATTAATATTTTATTCAAAATAGTGTTAAATATATTTAAAAAGTGATTAAAATTCAAACTAAAATATTCTAATAGATTTTATTTATGCACTTTAATTTCTATTGCTCCCTCTGTCCTAAAATGATCCGCCCAGTTCCGTTTAGGATGTTTGACTAAAGATATTTTCGATTTATTTTATTTTATTTTAGGTGTAAAATTAAAAAATAAAAATTATATATTTTAAAACCACATCAAAAGTTCTACAAAACAAGAGGTGAGATGACTATAATTTTTTATCAAATAACTAATGAAAATAGGTAATAATGTGATTAAAATTTGACCATGTAAATAGTGACTAAGAAGTTCATTTTAGAATAATGGACGGAGTACTTTTTAATGCAAAGTGCAAATCCTATTGTGAATTTAATTATTCTAAAAATAAATTTCAGTACCTATTGGTCGACGAAAACCCAATAACACCTGGTCATGAAAATATAGTGTTCAATCCAAACTAGAACTTACCTGAATCCGAGGTGACCTGAATCTAATATTACCAAACCTAACCCGACTAACTGATTTGCCACCTCTAGCTGCACCTATTAGATTGGCCAAAAGATCATAAATGGACGAGACCGTAACCTTACATTAATTTTTTGCTCTCTATCGGTTACGGAAGTGGAGAGCTCATCCCAGGAAATTAAATTTTCACGTCAATGTAACGATTGAGAGATCAAGGAGTAAATCACCACAAGATTTGGACAAGATATTAACAATAAGGTCATCATTCATAATTGGGGTATTCACGAAGTTTAGCTTAGCAATTTTGGTGGTCATATCCGCACTATAAGGTTCATGGTGAAAACCGATCTGAAACAGGACCAGAGTAGGGAAAAAGAAAAATGCGAAAACCGAAATCGAGTAAACATGAATTTTTTTTGTCTTGACCAGTGTTTTTTCAGGCCGGTCCAGTTTTACACCGGAAATCTTGGAGGTTTTTTTCGATAGTTGTTTTAACTTGTTTTTCGACAACATAGCTTGATTTTAATTTATTTCAACCCCAATTTTATTATATGGGGATGTTTCAAGGAATTTAATTAATGTAAAATATTGTTCAACAGCAATATGATACATTTAAAATGAGTTTTATTTAAAGCTTTAAATTGAAATATTAAGGTTTTTTTAAATAAGTTTAGTTTTTCTGGAAATTTAAGCTTTAATGGGAATTATAGTAATTTTAAAAAGTAATGAAAATGAATAAACTAATTAAACTCCGTATACATTAAAAAGATTTAATATAATCACATGTCATATGTCTTAAAAATGAAAAAAAGTAGAATAATTACAATTTGGTTTAATCAATCCGACCGGGAAACTTTCCTGCCTTGGACTGGAATGGACCCTTTATTTTACCGATCCTTATTGATTAAGTTGGAGACCGGTAAGGAATTTAACAGATCTATCCTGGAATCAATTTTTCTAGTCTGGTCTAGTTTTCTGTCCGACCTGGATTTTTACACCCCTAAAGTTTAATATCATGATTACCTCGAGGGTTTTTTGCAAGCTTGGCCTTGAACAAATAATACGTCCATGTGACACATTTGAAAGGCTGGTTGAGAGACGTGGTCGGCCAAGCATCAGCGGACTCAGGGGCGGAGCTAGGTTGGGTCATGTGAGTTCAATTATAGTCACTCTATTTTTCGTAGACTCTATGTATTACTCTGTATATATATACACAAAATTTTTTAAACAAAGCTAGACGTAGGGTGCACAAGTGCAGGGGTTTTTCACATATTGAGTAAGAGGCATAGTAATTTTCATTTCGAACTTCTCCCCTGGCTTAAGTGGTAGGAAGCTCACTCCGCAAGATTTATGGGGAAGTTCACCCAAGTTCGAGCCTCAACGGAGCTGAAAGCATTAGCCCTTTGTGCATTGAGAATAGTATGAATAGATACTACCTTGTAATAGAGTCGATGACATTAAAAAAATCATTCCACCTCTCATTCTTTTGTTCTCCAACACACCCTTGTCCATAATTTCATGCCTAACTACCATTTCAGGTAAAATCTTTGTTGGAATAACTTAGTTGATTTGTTTTGGTTAGTATGGTTACAGTTGTTAGGATTTTGTTAGTCCTCCTTTCCCTCTTTCCCTTTTGTGTATATTTTTCCAATAGTTTCAATGTGTAATTAGTTTAACATAATCTTCAATCAAAGTTGAATTTCTTTAACATTTTACTGTTCATCTTCTTCTCTCCTTCACGATCAATCATGATTTCCAACATGGTATCAGAGCTTGTTCAATCATTCTTGGGATTCAACTTTGCAATTGTTCTTCAAGATTACGATTTCGATTCAGTTTTAGATCTTCAATCGCATTATCTAATTCTCTTTTACTTCGATGGCGACGACTGCAAATTAATCCAATTCTCGTGATCCTTCTAATCCACTATACTTGCATCCGTCTGATCATCCAGGACTTATATTGATTTCAGTTTGAAGGTTAAGGCTTTGGTTCATGGAAGAAATCAATGACCATTGCACTTTTTACAAAGAACAAGTTACAATTGGTGAAAGGACAAATCAGTAAACCCAGCGGTCCTTCAAAATTGGCTTTGTGGCGGAGATGCAATGACACGATTACTGCCTAGATCTTAAACACTTTGAGTAATGAAATTGGAGAGAGTGTTCTATATGAGAACACTAAGGAAGAACATTGGGAGGAGCTGGGCGAGAGATTTGGTCAATCTAATGGTTCCAGATTATACCAAATATAGAAGGATATTTATTCAACTAGTCAAGGAAATCTTGATATTATAGGTTAATACACTAAGATCAAAAGTCTTTGGGATGAGTTAGCTTTGGTCTCTAATCAGCCTGATTAATCATGTGGTGTTGTTCATGCAATTATGAAACATGACCAAGATCGGAAGTTAGTTCAATTTCTGATAGGACTTAACTCTTATTATAATACTACAAGAGGTAATATACTCTTAATGAGGCCTTTGCCATCAGTTTCCATTGCATATGGAATGCTCATTCAATAGGAAAAGTAGAGACAAATTCAAGCTCCTGTTCATTTTATGCTTGAACACACTTACATGATGAGAGGAAAGTTGATGTATGTGGATACTGCAAGAAGAAAGGTCATAGTGCAAACAAATGTTATAGAGTGGTGGGTTTTCCAAAAGATTTTAAGTTCAAAAAAAGAAAAAGATGGCTGCTAACGTGTTTACTTGAGAAGAAACTGAGCAAACTGATTCCAAATTTGAGGAACAAATCACACCAGAATTTTGCAACCAGTGCACGAAGTTCATGAACATTATCCTGGAACCCGAAACTCAATATTCTATCAATCCCATGCTGCAGGCCTTTTGAACACATATGGCTGGTATTCTTTTTCTCTCTTCAAATGCTTTGGCTAATCATTTGTGTAAAAATGTGCATATTATTGATGACTATATCTGGATATTATATACTGGAGCCACTAACCATATGTGTGTGAACCTGCATCTCCTTACCAAACTCAAACCTCTGCCCACCCCTCACCACATCACTTTACCCAATAACCAAAAGATCCCAGCTACCATATGATATGATACTTGAAGATGTCTTATTTTTCCTGAATTCAAATTTAATATTCTATCTATCGGTAAACTATGTACATAGCTTAACCTTACATCTAGTTTCACAGCAGATGCATGTCTCTTGTAGGGCCCTTCTAAGAAGAGGCTAGTTACACATGGTAGGAGTCAAGGTGGTCTTTAGATCACTCCCAAGTATTCACAAAATATAGAGTCTTCTTTCACTTCTTTTGTTAGTAGTGTTAATACTCTACAATGTAATAAAGCTGGTAGAGAATCCAATGTAATTGTCTTACATAACTGATTGAGCCATTTACCTTTGTACAAACTCAAGCAGCTTTGTTTCATTGATAATACAAATCTCCCTTCTTTTCCTAGTTGTGATGTTTGTCCTAGATAATTATCTTTTCCTATTAGTCTCTCTCATTCTACTCATGTCTTTGAACTCATACATCTAGACCTATGGGGACCTTATCATACCAAAATTTACAATGGTTATCAGCACTTTCTCACCATTGTAGATGATTTTTCTAGGAAAACATTGACATATATTTTAACCAAAAAAATCAATGCCCTAGATCTTATTCAAACTTTCATCACCATGGTTAGCACACAATTTCATACACTTGTCAAAACCATCAAATCTAACAATGCTTTAGAATTAGGGAAATGTAAACGTCTCACTCAGTTTTTCCTCTCTAAAGGCATCCTTTATCAAATAAGTGTTAGAGATACTCCTCAACAGAATGGAGTGGTTGGAAGGAAACACAATTATCTGCTTGAAACCTATAGATCCATTGAACTTCAGTCCAACATCCCTAAAAAATTATCGAGTGAGTGTGTACTCACTACCACTTACCTTATCAAAACGTTCCCTACAAAGATTTTACAGGGGAAATTCCCTTTTGAAGTCCTTTTTTGCAAAACTCCATCTTATGATTATTTAAGAGTACTTGGTTGCCTTTGTTATGCTTTTACCCCAAAACCAGGAAGACATAAGCTAAGTTTTAAGAGAGGGCCTCAACTTGTATCTTCCTAGGCTATCCTTATGGCAAGAAGGCGTACAAGGTTTATAATCTCACTACTCACAAAATTATCACTTACAGAGATGTTATCTTTCATGAATTTGTCTTTCCTTATCAGCATCCACTTCTACAAACCCTGTTTTTCATTCTTACCATGACACCACTCAACCTGTGAATGACACTTCTTTACATTATAATCCCAAAAATGTCACAGCTTATGTTTCCAATTACCCTCATTCTACATCTTCTTCTAAGGATTCTCAGATTCATCCTAATATTCCTTCCTTAGATTCTGCTTCTTCTTTGGATGCTAACATTCCTTCTACCTCCATTCGTATCTCTCCCACTCCTTCCTCTAACACTATTTGGTAAATTTTTTCATCTTTTATTTATGTATTGCATAATCCTAACCCAAAAAGTTGATTTGATATTAATTAGCTATGTATATGTTGTCCAAAAATCTAAATACATGAATATGATTTGATTTAAATGATTTTGTTCAACTGAAGGTTCCATTCATGTTATTTCACAGAATCTGTTTGACAAAATACATACCCGTCAAACCTACCACCCACCGACATTTGTCATTAGACCCGTGGATGTGCCACTCCACTTGCCCTCACAAGTGTTAAATCTTGGCTCCGCCACTGTGCGAACTTGTCTATAACAGAGATTAATGGCTAGACCACCTTAATACAATCACAGAGGATGGCACTCATATTAATGACATTGTGACCATACAATAAGGTGTACGTAGGGTTGGGTTTCTTGTGATTAAAATTAAGAAATGGATAGGTAGCCTTGATAGATCCAACAACATAGCCCAAGAAATTCAATCCAACGCGTGTGTCTAGGTTAATTTAATATGAAAGTCCTTCGAGGAATACATTCAAATTGGTTTAGACGTAGAAGAGAACCCTGAATATGGGGTGGTAACAATGGAGACCGACATCTATTTGAGGCTGAATAGAGAATAACACATTGAAAAAAAATAGCAAGTATTTGTATAAAGCAATTAGCTCAATATGATGTGGGTGCTTCTCTATGCTTATAAGCTGGTCAAAACTTGTTTATAAGATGTTTTAGCTTATAAGTTAGCTGGACTTATAAGTTAGCTTATGACGTGTTTCTTTGTGCTTATTGTACGCAGACTTATAAGCTCCTTATAAGAAAGAAAAAATAAGTAGGTCTTAGCTACTTATTTATGCCTTTTTTTTTCATTTCTATTTTTGATCAGATTATTTACAAAACTTTCACTCACCTATTATTAACAACCCCAATGACTTATATATCATTTACATCAGTTTACCTACAAGAAAGAATATTTGATTTATAAGCAGCTTATATGTTAAAAACTACTTATCAATAATAAGTCAATAAGCATTAGGACTAAAACACACCCCAGTCCATATAATGTATCAAATGATGCACGTATTGTATTGATGATCACCATAAATATAAGTAGATATACATGCTACAAAACGTTATATATTCATATTCACATGGATATAGCTAAACGGATTAGAAGTAATAGTTAATTTAACTAATAAAAACCCAAGGAAACCAGCATATTTTTGTTCCCTTCATCCTAAAACTAACTTACTGTTGCGCTTTATGATATTTGACTAAAGGTGTTCTCAATATATTTTATTACAAAACTATGTGGAATTTAAAAATAAACTTTATATGTTTAAAAACTACATATACAGATCTACAAAACTAAAGATGACATCACTATTTTTTAAATCAAATACTCCGTAAGTAAGAAAAATAGAATTAAAAGTATATAAAATTTAAACGTGTAAAGAGTGAACAAGAAGATAGTTTCATGACGGAGGGAATATTAAGAGCATGTCTATACTTGACATAACTTTTGGGTAATTATTGATGTAATAAAAAAATTGATCATGGGCAAGTACCTCCTATGACAAAGAATTATATCTTTTGCTATGACAAAATTAGAATTATATTCCTAATTTCTTTTTTCTCTTGACTCTATTGACAAACAGATTGGAGAGCTTGCAGGGATTGCCATTGGAATGACAATTCTTATCAGTGTTCTTGTTGCAGGGTAATTAATACCATAATTTGTAAAAGTAACTAATCTTTTTCATAGTATTTCCTAGGTCTGTTTTCTGGGAGAAGAACAAAAATATGGGTAAAATACACTTCCACACTACCACATCCCCCACCACACTTCAAACTCTACCGCCACACTCCCCCGCCAAATTTTCACCCTCTCTACCACACTATTACCGCAACCATCACCTCCACACTACAACCTCCACCGCCACATTGTCTTCTTCTCCCCCATACTTTCACCGCCACCGTCATATTGCCATTGTCAATGACCAACTCAATCAAAAACTTAATCTTAAGGGTGTGGCCCATGAGATATTTTTATACCCTAACACTACCCCTCACGTGCTGGCTAAATTTGTTGTTGCCAGAGCCTTGCATGTGGAAATTGATTTTTTTAAATTGGCTAGGAGTGAGATTTGAAATTGTGACCTCTAGGTCACCAATAGTTTAATACTATGTCAACGAACCAGCTCAACCAAAAGTTAAAGATTGTGGTATTGGTCCATAAAAGGTTTTTACACCCTAAAAATCACAATCACCACAACCGTAATGATGCTGGCACTTCTATTATCAAACTGCCAACTCCATCATCTTCTAACAACAATAGGAACCTCAATCTCTTGTACATTAATTTTTTGCTGATCAGAAATTAAGAAGTTGATGGGATATTAGGCCTTCACAGTCTAGGCTCGGCTAAACCCTTAGCATGGACCCAAGAGAATGACTTGGGATGAACGACGCAGACCATCTAGCATGCCACGCCCATAGGGGCGAAGAATAAGTATTTGGCCTAGTAACATATGAAGAGAGAAGTAGCTATTTTCCCAAGATGATTTACGCCACATCATTGATTGAACTAGAGTGAAAGGCAAAATGTTAAGGGTAGAGACTTGAGGCGATTGAACATTCCATGCTTATAACTTTCCTTGCACACTCTTGAAACTAGACCTATAAATAGAGGCAAAAACAATTGTAATCGACATGCTCAATACAAATACAATTTACTTCCTCCATTATCGTATTCTAAAACTTTTTCTTTCATATTACTTTCAGTCTATTCATGCAACAACTTGACTTGGCCTTCTAGATTTGATTATCTGGTGGAGTTTACTATCATCAAATTGGTGCTTTCATTGAGAGCTTGAGGAATAATTCTTGAGGTTAACTGTAGTAGAACAAAAATGGTGCACACTTGAAGAAATGCTCACCATGCCACCAGCAAACCCCAATGTTGAGGGGGAAGAAAGGGGGCACTAGTGTAGCTTGCCAACTGCTACACTTGTGATGAAGCCCAACATATCATAGATGGGTTAAGATCACCACTAAGCATATCAAGGTCGTCAATGCTTCCCTCTTCACCTTAGGTCATATGGGTCCAAGAACAAATAAGGCTTGGGAATAAGGTTCAGTGGGCAAGAAGATGAAGAAAACCTTGTCGCTCTGAGAATAAGAGAACATGGAAGGTCAACAAGAAGGTGACTGTGGTGGTTGTGCTAAACCCTGTGGAGGAGGAGGATGAGTCCTCCTAATAGGAATGTGTCTCAGCCTTTGATAGGTTGGAGAATGAAATGCCTAAAAGGAAACTTATGCCAGTTTTAGCCTTCTCAACAATGGTCATTCATCATGTCATGAAGATCTCTGGACTCATATCACGAGCTGACATGTTGAGTCCTCAACCAAATTTAATGCTCGTTGACCTCTAGAAAGCGAGCAGCTTCTCATATCGAAGGAGGTAGGGATGTGGGAGAATTATGGGAAACCATCAGGGAGTTGAAGAAGAGGGTGGATGCCAAGAACCCCTATTGTCATGGCATCCTAAATGGGGTAACCTCGTTCTCCCATTGCATTATTTAATACTCATTTTTGAAAAATTTCAGGGTGCCCCAATTCAAGGCATTTAATGCAATTACTAATCTCCGAGACTACTTATCTCGGTTTCGGGCCAACATGGTAATGTTGGCATACTCAAAAGAGTTTAATTGTCACTGCTTTCTAGCAATCCTAGAGGGAAAAGCAAATTAATGGTTTTACAAGCTTCCGGAGGGATCCATTTATAAGTGGAATAATTTGTCAAGGATATTCCTCAAACACTTCTCGGCAAGCCGCCGTTAGAAGCCCCCTTATTCTAACCTTCTAAATATGAGCATACGGAGGGGGAGAAGCTCAGAAATTTTCTAACTCAGTGGGAGAAGGAAATTAGGGACGTCTAGGGAGTGAACAACAAAGTGCTTATAGCCATGCTCCAAGTAGCACTCCACGAAGGGGATGTGCACAGGGAACTAAGGAGGTATCCACTCCCCGCCTATCAAGAAATGCTAGCCACGGCTAGGTTTTGGCCTTGGAGGAAGATGAAGATGACCACCGAGACAAGTTCCCAACACAAAACACGACTCTTATGGCTAATGGTGAGTCTAGGGGGAACAACAAGATGAAGGATTATACCTAAGGCCCTAACTTGGTGGGGTTCTAGAAAAATCAGGTGCCCATAAATACTATTAGAGTCTTCCTCTTCCTACTATAGTACTATGGAAGCCTAAGTGTTCAAGGCAAATCCAAAGACTATGAGTATCATTGTAATCGAATCCATAAGAAGGAAGGCATTACTTTGAAGAGGGAGATATATCAATTAATAGCTAGAGGGGCACCGCCGTGGGGAGATAGGCCCACTCCTGGACTAGCTCCAGGGGGGCATACTTGGAAGAAATCACCAACTGCGCCCATTGCCATCATGAATGGGGATAATTTTGATGCACGCAAAACGCATCTAGGACATGGATGTGTATACCTCGATGAAGGCGACACGTAGCACCAAAGGCTTCTAGGGTGAAACATTGTCATGGGAGGAAACACTGGTGGGGACTCTATTGCGTCGTGTAATAAATGGAAGAATTACCACCTCGCTGAGGTCTAGAGGCCGCCGCTCTCTAAAAAGACACAGAGGGAGCCTATTGTATTCACTGATGATGACTTTCCACTCATCGTGACCCTTCCCCAAGACACCCCCGTCATCAAGTTAGAGGTTACCAAAGTTATTGCCCACCGAATCTTAATTGATACATGAAGTTCAATGAAAATCGTGTACAATAACACCTTCAATGAACTTCGACTTTTCTCGAGGCAACCTCAAGCCTGTAAAGACCATATTGTCAAGGTTCACTGAGGATACCATTGAGGTAGAGGGATTGATTATAGTCAAAGTCAAGGTAGGAGATAGCACCCATCTGTTCCCTATTGACATGGAATTTGTGGTACTGCACTTGGACATTGCACACCATCTGACACTTGGTTGAACCGGCTTGGAGGAATTAGAGTAAATCATCTCGAGTTGTGTAGCTATGTATAAAGTTCCCCATGCCTTCTCGGGTTGGGGTGGATAGAGCAACCAAAACTCATTCCCAAAATGAATAGAATGTCAACACCATCTCTATAGAGGTGTTAAACGAGGAGGAACGTACAGGGAGGAGTCCACTAAAAATATTCAAGATGTGATCCTGGATCTGGAAAAATCGGATAGCAAAGTGATGGTTGGAAGGATGCTTCCCCAGCTATTAAGAACTCAACTCTTGACGGTTTTGTAGCTTTTAACATTTTATTTACACAGGGACTCGGAGACGTGCAAGTGGTTGACCCGTAGATCATTTGCCATAGACTAGTGGTCAACTTGAGACATAAGCCAGTGAAGCAAAAGAAGCAGTTCTTTTCATCATAAAGAAGGGACTTCATCGCCAAAGAGGTGACAACTCTACAATCTATTGGCTACATTCAGGAAGTAAAGTACCCAGATTGATGGGGGAACGTACTCCTTGCACCCAAAGGGAATAACGGGAGGATGTGCATGGATTACACTAACGTGAATAATGCATGTCCAATGGACCTCTTTTGGCTACCAAGCATTGATCATGAACGTGTCCAATGGGTATGATTAGATATGGGTGCATGCAGAAGATGAGGAGAAAACATTTTTCACTACACCAAATGGGGTATGTAGTTACAAGGCAATGTCATTCAGGTTGAAGAATTCTAAGGCGACCTACGCTCGGATGGTTAACAAGTTGTTCGCTCCCATCCTCGGTAAGTGTATGGAAACATATGTTGATGATATGATCATCAAAAGCAAAGTAGTAGAATCGCATACCCAGGAAGGTGTTCGAGAGCATTAAGAGGTAAAATTTATGTCTTAACCCTAAGAAGTTAACTTTTGCGATGTAAAGAGAATGTTTTTGAGACACATGATCAACAACAGAGGATAGAGCCCAACCTAGAGAAAGTTTAGGCCATCCTTGATATGGAGCCTCCGCGAAATATAAAGGAAGTCCAGCGGCTATCCGGAACTGGCGGCTTTGAGCAGGTAATTTTCTAAACATATGGATCAAGCCACTCTCTTCTTCCAGACGGTATGTTTCTGATAGCGAGTGCAGTTGTGACATGTTTCCGCACGGTATTCAATCTACCATTTGAAAGTTTCTATTTTTGAAACGATAGATGATCTACCGTTTGAACCATTGAAATTCTTTTTAGTTGTTTTTAAAAAATACGAAATTCTTTATTTCATTTTTGTTGTTTTTAAAAATTTTAAATTATTAATTTTAAATACATTCACATTAAAATTAATATTATTATTAGCATGTAGGATTCCTAAAAAATTCTAAATTGAAATGTAATTTTTTTAAAGAATAAAGACATTTAGGTATACAAAATGGTGTACCATATGCGTGAAAAAAAACTTTAAAAAATAATGAAATGCAAAAGTATTCAATGCAAAAAAATAATAATTATTTTTAAAATCTAACAAAATTACTAAAAAGATAATCTAAAAAATGTCTATGAGTAAGAGTCATTGTCGAGAGAATGTCCTAGAACTATGTAGTGGCTCCCCATAATGCACCACCTACCGTGTGTATTTCGTTGTGGCCGACTACCAACCAATGGTGTACTTTGCTCAAGAGGATCTTGAATCTCATTCTCCTAAGTCAATAGAGAAAAAAAAGGTCCTGAAATAGGGTATCCAGCGCAACTCTAGGCAGTGGAGCGTGTGAAGCGGAGACTGGTGGCTGTAGGGTTGTAGGCATAAATAATGATGGTGAAGCCTGGGGTATCATGGGTATGGTAGGCAATGATATCCGGGAATGTATTCAAGATGTTGTATCTCTTTAGGGATATGACGTGTGAGGACTTTGAGGAGTATTGAAAAAAATACCCTATAGTATTACAGTATAACTCCGTAGTATATCCATCACTAAATTTTTGTACAGTTAAAATATTTCGATAAATATTGATTGCCCATTAAATAAAGTTGCATTGCATAGTAGTACAAAATTATTTAATAAGGTTTATTTTTGAGAAAATTTTCAAAAAAATTATTGTTTTGTATCAATATATAATTACTTTTGATTTAGTTAATGATTAAAATTTATCTTGTAGGACTCAAAAAGTGAAATCCAACAAATACTTTAAGACGGATAGAGTATGATACTACAATAGTTTCATTCTCTTTGTATGACAGGCAAGTTTAACATTTCATGTTAAAAAAATCTTAGAAACTACATTGTAATAGGGTTAATAGCACTAAAAACAACTAGAATTTTTTGAGACAGTAATTTTTGTTGATGCCAATGAGTGCTTTTATGGTTTCTATCACGCGTCATTAACGTTATCATATGAGTAAAACTTAGGGCAAAATTTAAAAATAATGCTCTTTTTAAAATATTCATTCTAACACCAATGTTTCTCATGTATTGTGTGGTGGAATAGCTTATTCTTACTTTTCTCTTATAAAAACTACAGGCCAATCTCAGGAGCATCGATGAATCCAGCAAGAAGTCTTGGGCCAGCTATAGTGATGCATAAGTACAAAAGTATATGGGTTTACATATGTGAGCCTATAATGGGAACTGCAGCTGGTGGTTTCACGTTCAACCTCATCAGGTTCACAGAAAAGCCGCTAAGAGAACTAACTAGAAGTGGATCATTCCTCAAAAGCTTGTCAAGAAAGGCTAGTACCTCAGTTCGCTAGAGTTGATTTTATTTCACTCCTTCCGCACACGGTCATGTCCATTTCCATGTACATCCATGCATATGGCTTATGCTAACTAAATGAATATGGAAATTGAATTGTGCATTCAAAGAAAAACCTCTTCAACCCAAGAAAGATTGTTCTCTTTAGTCTTAAAAGTAATAACATTTGTGAAAAATTGTTCTCTGAGTTTAAAATTTTTTTATTTGCTTTTGTTATTCTATAGTTATCAGTACTGGTAACATCTTATACTGTCAAAAGTATGAGTATCTAGTGGAATTTTATCTGTGTTAGTAAAAATATCAGTTATCAGCACCGGTAACATCTTATACATTCAAACGTATGAATATCTGTAGGTATTGGATCCATATGAGAAATAAGTTATGTTGTGATTACTGGTAACATCTTGTACGTTCAAAAGTATGAGTATCGAGAGTAATTAACTAGATCCGCACAAGTAACAAGTTCAGTAATCCGTACTGGTAAAATTTTATAAAGTCAAAAGTAAGAGTATCCGGGGGAATCTGAACTGTGCAAGTAACAAATTCAGTTGTGAGTTCTGGTAACATCTCATACGGTCAAAAGAATGAGTATTTAGATGAATTCGATCAGTGCGAGTAATAAGTTCAGTTATCTGTACCTTAAGATCTTATACGATCAAAACTATGAGTATATAGAGGAATTGGATATGTGCGAGAAACAAATTAAGTTATACATTTTTTACGCTTAAAACTATGAGTGTTTGGTGGATTTCCATATATTCGAGTAATAATATTAGTTTTCAATACCGATTACATTTTATACGTTCAAAAGTATGAGTATCCGGAGTAACACGATCCATGCGAGTAACAAGTTCTGTTATCTGTACTTGTAACATCTTACACAGGTAAAAGTATGAGTGTCTAGAGGAATTGGATTCGTGAGAGTAACAAGTTTAGTTGTGAGTACGTGTGAAATCTCTTACGTTCTAATGTATGACTATCCGAAGTAACTAGATCCCCATGAGTAACAAGTTAAGTTATCAGTATCGCTAACATCTTATATAGTAACAAGTTCTTTTATATGTACCGGTAACATCTTATACAGTTAAAAGAATGGAGTATCTGAATGAATTTTTTTAGAATATAGGCCCAACACTAGAGGGAGGGAGGGGGGTGAATAGCGTTTAAAACAAAATCGCAGGAAATTAAAAACGAGAGTGATAAAGTAAAGAGCATAAGGAAGGAGCACAACGAATTTTATCCTGGTTCACCACAACGTGTGGCTAATCCAGCCTCCCGAGACACTCTCTCGAGCTAGACTAACTCCGTTAAGCTGAAAAGTGCTCAACAAACCAATACAACTTGAGAACCCGAGTCACACGAGCCTCAAACGCCTTTGCTCGGAGATACCACACACCAAGACTTCTCACGAAGCAACAAAGACTTCCTTCGAATTTACAAGAAGGGAACAACCTCCCTTCAAGTGTGTAAAAACACTTAAACACTCAGGAATAAAACTCTCACAAAGAGTAGATATGAGTGAACTAGTAAACGCTCAAGAACACGACAATTTCTTCAAGAATTGGTTCTCAAATAGCTAAGAAAAATAAGAATGCTTATATAATGAAAGAGTATTGAAATGTTGAAGAATTGTGTGTAAAATGAGAGGATTTGGATGCCATTTTATAGCTTAAAATGGGATAAACCTATTGCAAAGTTTCTGAAAGGTAACCATGCAAGGATAGGCAGCGGAATATAAAAATTTTAACATCCTAACATGATTATCTTGCCCAGAATCACGTACTAAAACTTATAGTGAATAAGAAATTTATACCTTTCTCCGTAAGCGGTAAAAACGAAGAAGTCAGAGGGAAGAGCGTTGAAAGTGCAAACGTAACCGTTCAAGCGTCCGATCTCCAACTTTGACACTAGAACAACGCCGGAGTCTACCACAATCTTTATGCTAGTAAAGATTATAGTAGTATAAAATATAAAGATTAAAATTTGGGATAATAATAATCTTGTATATTTCTATAGAAAATATTTCTAATAATATTTAGAAAATATTATAGATATTTTCTATACACAAAATGATATTAATGGAACCAAACTAATATTTCTTCTCTCTAGAAAAATATGGCCGAATGACACACTGTTGAAAATGATAATCTTCACCCCTTATTTTATTTCAAAGTGCTGTGTAACCTTTTAAAAAGAAAACAAAAGATTCAAAATGATTAATCAAACTATTTTGTCATTAGCTAAATGACAAAATTAACTAGCCACTTAATTAACAATCAAGGAAAGTTTGATTCTCAAAATCCTTATGATGGCCGAAAATTTTCTTTGTGATTGTGAGAAGGATTTTCAAAATTCTTCTCCACTAAAATGTTCAAAGTGTATTTTATTTGACATCAAAAATTAATATAAAATTAATTTTAAATCAAATAAAAATACCAATATCATTTTAAACAAGTATACAAATATAATTTAAATAGTTTAGGTCAAAATAATTATTTTCATAATTAAAATGACAATCCAAAATAAAATATTCAATATATAATATATATATATTAATCGGTTCAAATATATATATATATATATAATATATATATATAACCGAATATCACATATATAAGATTATATTCCAAAATATTTTACTTTACTATTTTTACAAATATACAAATTACTTATTATCCCATTGTTTAATCCTACTCCTTAAATTGTCAAAAGTGTGTGACCCGTATAGGCACTTATAAAACTGGCCACAGTATTGGCTCTGCACCAATACTATAAGCAATAAGCGGTATCTAGCAACACATTATTGCCCCCAGGTTATAAGTTAAGACGTTTGCACCGTCAAAACCTTTCCACAACTCAGACTCCGTGTAACTGTATCCCTTTGTCTCAATGTCTAAACTTAATGCAAGGGATTAATAAAATCCAGCTTGTATCCATTAAGTCATTCACTGATTTATCAAGTCTGACTAATAGGAACAGACGTCATAAAAGCATCTCAGCATGGCCATGCAATTTCCTTAGTCATAACTTATCAGTGGGCCCCATAAGACATTAATCTCTTTAAAAAGAGTAGTGACAAATCCTATGTACGTAATCTACGTTTCTGAATAC